ACCAGCAAGGGAGATATGTCATATTGGTAGGACTGTTTAACGATATTGCATGTCTGTTAGTAAGTATGTATGCATGTCTGTTAGTGAGAGTGTATGCGTGTCTGTTAGTGAGTGTGTTAGTGTGTGTGTGTGTCTATTAGTGAGTATGTTAGTATGTGTGTGTGTTAGTGAGTGTGTATGCATGTCTGTTAGTGAGAGTGTATGCGTGTCTGCTAGTGAGAGTGTATGTGTGTCTGCTAGTGACTGTGTGTGTCTGTTAGTGACTGTATGTGTCTGTTAGTGAGAGTGTGTGTTGGATGTTAGTGAGTGTGTATGTCTGTTGGCTAATGTATGTGTGTCTGTCAGTGAATGTGTGTGTCTGACACTGAGTGTATATGTATCTGTCAGTGATTGTGTATGTGTATTTACTAGGCGGGGTGGGAAGGGGGTGGGTGTCTGAGTTTTGTCAGGCCTAGGGCAGCACAAAACCAGGATACACCACTGGCGGTCATACGGGGTATCTTCATACAAAGGGCCTCGTATCTTAAAAAGAGACACCAAATGGACTTGCTAATATGCTACAAAAAGATTGCCCAACTCTCGCTACAAAACAAAACACACCCTTCTCCTGATATAGCAGCTCAGCTGCACAGCTGGTACCAAAAATTGCATTCTCATAAGGCGATCCAAACGAATAAGCTTCTTCATATATTGAAAGCCAGTACCTACCACACCAGTGGAAAGGCCAATAGATTCTTAGCAAATGTCAGGATCATGACAGGGATCCAATACGCAGAGTGCGGACAGGAGGAGGTACGTATACCGGACCTTAGAATGGCCGGACTAACGTATAGACAAGACAAGAATGGTCAAAAGGTAAGCCGAGGTCGAGGGAGCCGGAGGACAGGTAAGTGAGGAACAAGCCGGGTCAAAGGAGAGGAGAGAGCAGCAGGACAAAGGTACAAGCTAGGTCAAAACCGAAAAACACAAATAGAGAGAACGCGCTGAGTGACTAGCAAGCTAGAACCACGACAGGGCAATGAACAGTAGTAAAAGCTTCCCTTAAATACCCTGTCACCTTAATTATGACCACGCCCCCAAAAGGTCCGGAATTGCGGTTCCCGGCGGTTCACGTGACGATGACGTCATGACGTCGACGATTAGCCGTCGCGTCATAAAAGGGGGAGGAGCTAGCGCGGCCGGCGCGAAAAACGGCCGAAAAATGCCGAAATGCTTGGGCATAGGAGCCCCTTTGGAAGAGAGACTGACCTCCTCAGAGGTTGAATTTACAGGTAACCTGACAGCAAACAGATTACGAGATAAATTGTCCTGCTCTAGAATACCACATATACAGGATGGTCAGGGAAATGTGAAACGGGGACCTTTGGCTATCAGTCAGGAATTTGCAACATTCTACTCAGGTCTCTATAACCTGCACACTGACCCGCAAACACCTGTCCCATCCCCACAGGAACTACAAAACTACCTTGCGCCAATCCGACTCCCACAGATAACCCCAGATAAACTGATCTTGCTGACATAACCCATCTCCTTAGAGGATGTTCTTCATGTCATTAGGCAGTTACCGGCCGGCAAATCCCCGGGAGCAGACAGTCTCTCTAATATATACCATAAAAAATACTCACATATCTTGGCCCCCCATCTTCTTAAAGTGTACCGAGCAGCAGCAACCACGGGAGTACTCCCACCTGACATACTTACAGCCACAATAGTGACCATCCCCAAGCCAGATAAACCAACTGACAACTGTAAGAACTTTAGGCCGATCTCGCTCCTTAATACCGATGCTAAATTATATGCCAAGATCTTGGCAAACAGACTCGCTCCCATACTGCCCTCATTAATTACCAATGACCAAACGGGGTTCGTGAAGGGGCGTCAGGAACTAGATGTTACTCTCAAACTCTCTGATACTGCGGCACCTCTAGGGGCTCGGCACGGGCAGTCTACTTCTTGCACTTGATGCGGAGAAAGCTTTTAACCGGCTGAGGTGGGCCTTTCTAAGACAGGTGTTGCACTCATACGGCTTCTACCCCAGGTGATAGATCAAATGTTTGCTTTGTATGCCCAACCAACAGCCCAGGTAATGCAGGCAGGCTTCCTGTCCCCTCCCCTTACAGTGACAAATGGAACGTGACAGGGGTGCTCCCTATCTCCCCTGCTATATGTCCTGGCTCTCGAACCCTTATTGGAATCCATTAGGACATATCCTGAGCTGGAGTACGCATTGGGCAGAAAGAATTGAAAGTCAGCGCTTTCGCCGATGATATTTTACTATATATCATGAAACCACAGGAGTCTCTGCCCTGGTTGATGGAGCTGATCCGACAATATGGAGCAGTTTCCTACTACTCCCTTAACACCATTAAAACACAGGCAATGTGTATAGGGATCCCCGCACATATTAGTGAGTCTCTCCGACAAACATATTCTTTTGAATGGCGAACGACCAGTATAAAATATCTAGAGATTATGTTTACAACAAATATTACTCTGCAAATGACATAAAACTGTGGAATGGTTGTAAACTCCAACTCCATAGATGGAAACCGCTAATTCTCTCAGCTGCTTTTAAGATGTCCATCCTACCAAAGTTACAGTACCTGTTCCGCACTTTACCAGCCTTACTCCCAAACTCATACTTTAAACCAATCCAAACAGAATAGAATAAATTCTGTACATACTCGGGAGACTTCGCTAAACACAAATATTAGTGTTTCAAAACAGTAAAACATATCACAACAATGATATCATCAGTGAAAGTGCTGTTTGTGTGTGAAAAATGCAAAAAACTTCACTTTCACTGACAATATCATCCCTGTGATATGTTTTACTGTTTTGAAACACTAATATTTGTGTTCAGCAAAGTCCCCTGAATAAAACAGTACCCCCCATGTACAGGTTTTAGTGTGTCATGGAAAGTTACAGGGTTAAATACAGTGCTAGCAAACTAAATTCCCTGGTCTTTCGGCTTGGGTTGTCAGGCAGGTCCTTCAAATTGCAATCAATAAAATAACTTAATTATGTAAAAATATTACGTACATATGCACGTAGAATTTAAATGTATATTCATATTTATATATTTGAAGTCTATGTGTTTATTTAGGAAATTATTTATGTAATTATGTATATGGATATATATATTTCGTATTAATTTTATTTATTTATATATATAAATATATATATATATATATATATATATATATACATATATATAAAATTTCATTCTAAGTGTATTTTGAGATATATATATATATATTTTAATATCAAAATACAGTTAAAATAAAATTACATTCATATATATATATATAATTTTGTTATGGCCTATTGCGGCCATGTGACCGCTCTTTCAGAGCAATCACGTGGCCCACGGGGGCCTAATTTGCCTAAGGGGGACTGTCTGGGCTGTCAGGCAGTCCCCCTAGATCGGGAGCAACGCCGATCGCCGGCGGGGGAACGGCGGCGATCGGATAAGTACTAACGACTTTGAGGATGTACTAAGTACGTCTGGGGTCATTAAGGACCGTTTTTTGTCTACGTCCTAGGTCCTTAAGCAGACTTAGATTTTTCTTTTATTCTCACGAAGCCAGTATTTTTGTGTCTCTGCCAGGGTTCAGCCTCTAAGCCGTGAAAACCAAGCAACAGCCCATCTCTATGAGTCGTCAGCCTGGGTATACCCTTTAGTGACCGGGGGTCAGATCCAATTGCTCCCTCAGGGGATGAAAGCAGTCCACTGCATGCATGCCAGGGTTCAGCCTCTTATCCCTGAAGACCCAGCAACAGCACATCTCTATGAGTTGCCAGCTTATAAAGCCTTGCCCTGCCCTGCAATTAGGCTCAGAGCACTCTGATTGGTGGGTTTAAGCCATCCAATCAGAGTGCTCTGACAGATAAATGAAGAGACTGACAAGTAAGTCTCTACATTAACCTGTCACAGCACTCTGATTGGTTGGTTTGAAATCCACAAATCAGAGTGCTCTGTGTCATTTTACACAGCGTGGGAAACTTCTTTGGAATTTTCCCACGCTGTGTAAAATGACACAGAGCACTCTGATTGGTGGATTTCAAACCAACCAATCAGAGTGCTGTGACAGGTAGATGTAGAGACTTACCTGTCAGAGCACTCTGATTGGATGGCTTAAACCCACCAGAGTGCTCTGAGCCTAATTGCAGGACGGGGCAAGGCTTTATAAGCCTTCCGCCGCCCTGCAAAGTTCAGTCTGCGCGGAGCCCTAGCCGGGTGAAGATGGATTATTTGTTTTTGCGCTTGGGTTTTTTTTATTGCATCGGTTATTATGGATTTTTATTTGCCCTTTTTTGGGGGCTGAAAAAAAAAGATTTTAGAAGAAAGAAAACATCATATGGTAAGTTTATTTAAATTTTTACAGGTACTTAGTTAAAGGTCCCCCCCTCATTATTTTTAGGGTGAGGGGAGTAGGTAGGGCTTCATTTTTGGGGGGAGGTGGGTGACTAGGAGTTTGGGGACCCCTAGTCACCTGGGGGGGGTTACATTTGTATTTAGGGCCCCCACCCTCTGCTCAGGGGTTGGAGGTCAGGGGGGAGGACATTAGGTCCCCTCCAATTTGTATTTAGGGCCCCCCCAATTTGTACTTAGGGATCCCACCCACCACTCAGGGGTGGGGTCAGGGGGGACATTAAGTCCCCCCCCTTATTCTAGTTTAGGGCCCCCACCCACCGCTCAGGGGTGGGGGACAGGGTGGAGGACATTAGGTCCCCCCCCCAATTTTTATTTAGGGCCCCCACCCACTGCTCAGGGGTGGGGGCCAAGGGGGGTGGACATTAGGTCCCCCCCTTATTCTAGTTTAGAGCCCCCACCCACCGCTCAGGGGTGGGGGCCAGGGGGAAGGACATTAGGTCTCCCCCCCCAATTTTTATTTAGGGCCCCCACCTGCCGCTCAGGGGTGGGGGCTGGGGTGGGGGCCCCCACCTGCCGCTCTAGTTTAGGGCCCCCACCCACCGCAATTTGTATTTAGGGGCCAATTTGTATTTAGTGACCCCACCCACCGCTCAGGGGTGGGGGCCAGGGGGAGGACATTAGGTCCCCCCCAATTTGTACTTAGGGCCCCCACCCACCGCTCAGGGGTGGGGGCCAGGGGGAAGACATTAGGCCCCCCCTATTCTAGTTTAGGGCCCCCACTCACCACTAAGGGGTGGGGGCCAGGGGGGAGGACATTAATGTCCTCCCCCCTGGCCCCCACCCCTGAGCGGTGGGTGGGGCCCCAAAATACAAATTGGGGGGACCTAATGTCCTCCCCCCTGACCCCACCCCTCAGGGGTGGGGGCCGGGGGGGCAATAGGGGGGACCCTTTTTTAATTTTTTTTTTAACAGTGAGCAGCCACAGGCTGCTCACTGTTAAATAGACATGCCCCTACTAGCGAGTAGGGGCAAAATTTACTAATACTAAGTAATTTTTACATAGTATTAGTAAATTTGGCTGAAAGACCGATTTAGGTATTTCAGCCTTTTGGTAGATAACTCCCTAATACCGTGGGAATTAGGGAGTTACCTACCAAGAGGCTGCAAGAGAAGTCCCAAAATGCCGGAGTTTCGAAGTGCCAAAGTACCGAAGCTACCGAAGTTCCGAAGTTGCCGAAGTTTCGAAGTGTCGAAGTGCCAAATTCCCGAAGTGCCGAATTGATGAAGTCATGAATTTCGGAATGCCGAAACCGAGCCGAATATTTTCCCCATGCACATGACTACTTACCAGCAAGCACTCCACTCATTTACTGGTGTTGGCGTCTGGTTATCAGGTCACACAGTATAAGATCTTTTTTGTACATTTCTGGTGAGGTGTAAGGAAAGAACCAACCCAAGTTTTGTAGCAGCTTATTATATGTAGCTTTCTATTATTCAATATTTGTTTGTAAGAGCATCTTTTATCACAGATGGGTCCTATAACCTGGTCTCCATACTTTAATGAATAACCCTGTGAATATTTAAAATCAGGCAAAAATTGGTAAATTGTGACTAGATATTTTGCCCTTATTTTGCCATCAGACTTTAATTCGCTACAAATTAGAATTTAATGAATAAAACTGTCCATTAAGATTTTTTTCCCTTTTGTTTTAAAAGGTTTTTTTTCTTCATTATAAATAAAGAAAGAAAAATAAAAGAAAATATTTTTTGTCTCTCATTTTCTTACATTGCAAAACTACCCCATTGCCCATTCACTACATATTTCAAACACCAGAGCCACTACAGCATGGTTATTATACGAGGAATGCAAATGGTTTGACTTGCCACCTGGTGTCGGCTGGTCACTGTTCCATGGCAGTACTACTCCTGACAGAATGCTGGAAGCCTTACATCTGAGCTAAGTTCGGCAGTGCAGCTGATTGGCTGAGAGCGATCAGCTGTCGAGAGCTAGGTGAAGTTCCTAAGTAGGCACATCAAGCTCTCTGTTGAGTGTAGTGGAAGTGGGGAGTGGTGCACAGGAAACCCCCGTCAAACCAGTCTAAAATTGTACCTCCTGCTAGAATTCAGCCTAACGGAAAGCAATGCCTGCAAGTGAAAGTCCTTCATTTAAGTGTTGTAAGTGAAGTGCAAACAGAAGGACAAAGTGCACATACAGTTTTGAAAGTATATGATACACAAGATAGGAGCAGCCAATGCTGGCCCGTCCATAGGTATTGGTGGGACCATGGCTCCAGGCGGCAAATTGACATGGGCAGTATATTGACGCCCCTGTCATAAGAGTAGTTGGGGAAAGCCCTTGTTTTTCCTCGATCTGAAGCTCTGCCAGGGCAAGCTGGGAGGTTAGCCAAAATATAGAACAATCCTGGGTGTCGAGAGAGGAACGGGTGATGCTAAGCTAGAGCTGGTCGGGGACTGTCACATCCTGTTCCGTTTTGCTCAGATGTCTGGCCTTGGCTTCTGGTATCCAGTACTCTTTTTACAATTCTTGTTTAGTTTTTCTTGTTTTTTCTGGTTTTCTATTCTATGTCTGGTTTTCTTTATGCTGGGTTTTCTGATTGTCCATTTCCACGCTGAGACTCCTATCTTCTTCATCAGGCAAATAGGGGTCCCGGTCTTCGGACCGCCACCCGTGACAGGGACTCAGGGTTGTGCTCATGTTTTCCACTGATGTTCTGGCACTGTGATGCTGAAACTTCAGCTCTACTTTACATATAGATCTTTGCGGCATGCAGGGCCCAGGTTGGAGCGCAAACTCTCCACCATACCTGGCTATGTGCACAGGGCAACACAGGCGTCAGGTATACTGACTATAACAGTATAAACTTTTGACTATACCAGTTGCATACTGTATCCTGAATCAAACAGGAGCCAGAATTTCCCATTCTGCTTTAATAATATTAGTTTTGTCCAACTCTGGTTATCATTCAATGCCTGGGAGCATCAACTGACACTACTGTATAGTTAAAGAGACACTATAGGGTCAGGAACAGAAACATGTATCGATGACCCTATAGTGTTAAACCCACCATTTAGGTGGCTTCCCTCCCCCCAGCCCCCTTAAAAGGAATTAAAACTCACCTTATTTACAGTGTCGCGCAGGTCTGCTGGCGCTGGCCCCGCCTCCTTGATGACATCATCAGAATTGAAAATTAAGTTGCAAGAGAGGTGAGAACGCACAACAGCTCAATTAGCCTGACCTTCGGTGGATCCCTGCTCAGATCTCAAGCTGGTTTTATCTCATCTTGTGACATTACAAAGAACATATCTGAAGCATATCAGACTGGTACCACCTGTACGGATAGTCCAGATCCAAAATGCCAGCAAGTTCTCTCTGTACGAGAGATTCAGCAACCCCAGATGATCGTTTCAACCTTGTAAGGTATCATCACTGAGGTATATCCAATATCCCTCTAGGAACCGTGAGCAAGGTGTCCACGTCTGGATTGCCCTTTTAACATCATCAGAATTGCCACAGGGAAAGCATTGGATTGGCTAAAATCGACAAGGAGGTGGAATGGGCTGGGGCCAAACACTGCTTTGGCCAATCAGCACTTCTTCATAGAGACGCATTGAATCAAGGTTTTTTTTTCTATAAGGAAAATTCAGCGTCCCCATGCAGAGCGTGGAAACGCTGAATGGCAGTGATGCCTACTGTGCAGCCCTGCCCTAGGAAGCATCTCCTGTGGCTATATGAGGAGCGGCCACTTGGAGGTGTCGCTAGGAGCAATGTAAACACTGTTTGCATGAAAATTTCTGAAGGCAATGATTATACTCACCAGAACAACTACATTAAGTTGAAGTTGTTGTTGTGACTATAGTGTCTGAAATATCACAGAAGACCCGGAAGACTGACCGTGTCTGAGGGACACATAATTATTAAACTGTTCAAAATTGTTTGACTCCTTACTACGGTGTGGTCCCAGGAAAATTCTGGCAATTCATAACCACTACAGCAGACTGTAGAGGTGTAGAGGTTATGGTCCTTACCATGCCCCTTTAACTTTAGGATATTGAACACCGAGACGTAACTAGAATCCATGGGGCCCCGGTGCACAAATACATCTCTCCCCTTCAGTCCATCCATCTGTCACAATTAAACCCTCCAGCCCCTCCATGTGTCTCTTCTATTCCCCACAGGATGAGTGTGGCGTGGTTGAGGGGAATGAATATGACAGAATTGTAGGGGTTAATGTGATAGGGTGAGTGTGGCAGGAGGAAAGAGGCGAGAGTGTCAGGGTTGGGGTGGTGAGTGTGACAGTGCCAGAGAAGGTAAGTCTGATAGGGTGAGTATGGCAGAGTGATGGAAGGTGAGTATGGCATGGGTGAGTGACAGGATTGGCAGAGTTATTGTGAGTGTTGCAGGGTGAGAATGTGTGTGGGGTGGAGGGGAGGCAGTGTGGGTATGACAGATACACAGCCACACAGGTGCATACACTGACACACACTGACATACATACCATACAACACATACAGATATATACACAGACACACATACTGATACACAGACACACATATAGAGACGCACAGATACACACACTAACATGCAAATACAGAGACACACAAACTAACACACATACAGATACACAGACACATAGATGCACACACTGACACACATGCAGATACACAGACACACAGAATGACACTCCTACAGATACAAACACTGACACATATACAGATACCCAGACACACATGCAGATATACAAACACATACAGATAGTTACACATAAAGACACACATGCAGATACACAGACACTTAATGACAAATATTCAGATATACAGATACACAGGCACACATACATACATACAGACACACACACACACAGACAGGCACACAGATACACATACACATGCAAAATTTATTTATTTATTTTTGTCGCCCTCCTTTTACCTTTTTTTTACTTTTTAGGTGCAGGAGGGTGACTTCCCTGGGGTCTAGTGGCTGGCTCAGGCTGATGGGAGTCAGAGCTCCCAGTCTGACTCCCTCCTCTCCTTCTTCCATGTGAAGCTCTCTTCCTCCTCCCGTGCAGCTCTTGTGATTGCTGGGTGGAAGTGACCGTGGTTGTCACTTCCTCCCAAGCTGACATGATCACACAGGGCCCGGTCGCGCTCCTAAAGTGCTGCATCGCTGAGCAGGCCCCTGGAAATACATTGTTATCAGCCGATGGGGCCCCTCAACGAGCGGTCCTGGCAGTAGTACGACGCAGGCTGGGGCCGACCACATTGCCGACAGACACCTCGGTCTCAGGGGTCGGCAGGGCGGCTGGGTTCCTGGAGTGACAGGCCCTACATTCACATACAGCACACAATCCATGCACATTTACAGACATGGGCACACCTGACAAAAAAGGAGGGCTGATTTTGACAGGCAAATTCTGCTACACTGTATACAAATGATCCTCGATAGATAATGAGAAGTTTATATCGTCATTATTTCATCCCAAGCAGTGGCAGTGTGGTTTTTGTAAAAATATTATTTTTAAATGGTTTGACATTACACAGAACAGACATATTCTTCTTAAACAGTAAAGTGTGATTTTAGCTATACCACCTCCACCAGATACATGACGCTTGGGAGAAATACTGTTTTAGTTTTTTCTGTCGATAAGATTTTGTAATTAGGCCCATCATAATTGTCAGCACCAGTCCCAATGGGCTCTTAATCCGGCCCTGCGTCCATTCAATGTTAAACCATTTTTGAGCAGTTTAATACACAATGAGTGTTCCGGGTCACAACCTGGAATCATCAGAAATTATAACTTTTGTATGTGTGTTTGTATCTGTGT